TATATATATATATATATATATATATATATATATATATATATATATATATATATATATATATATATATATATATATATATATATATATATATATATATATATATTAAACATATTAAATATACAAAGATAAAAAAATAATTATTTACAAAAATGGGTATTTTCAAGAAAATGTTCTCAAATATAAATAGAAATATTAAATGAAAATAAGTATATTTTTTGTATTATTTTTGAGTTTTATTAAAAAGAAAATAGTTTATTTACATATTTATACTTAGTAAAATAAAAATAAATATCAAATAAATATGAAAAATATAGAAAATAATTTTTTGGTATTTTTTATACTTAGACAGAAAATAATAAAGTCAGAATAAAAAATAAAAATGTCAAAAATGATAAATATTTAAATAAATGGGTCAGGAAGGTGTAAACAAAAAAAGGGGGGGGGGGGGTGTCAAAAGCAAAGAACAACCAGGCCCAGCCCAGTCAGACTTCATCTTCTTCCTCTTGTTCACAAAACGCGTGCCTCTGTACATCAATGGTTATCTCCTGATTCTTTGATTTTTTGACAAAACTCATAACATGAACATTGTAGAGAATTAAACAACGAATCCAACCACATAAAAAACTTAGATTAACTCTCAAAGACCAGAGAGAATTTCTCTGGCCCTAATTTCTAACCTAGTTTTTTCAGAAAGTTCATGAGTGAAATTCTCTTAGCACGATTAATGTAAATGAAAACTAAGCGTATGTATGGCTTCAGGGCTATGAGCACAACATATTTCATTCACAAACCTAAGCCTAACCATTCCTAAATAGAGAGATAGAAGTCCATGAAATACTTGTTTCAGTTGACTTCGAGCTGGACAATGTAGCAACCTTCAATGGTGTTTGAGCTTCTTTTGAGCTTGCCTGAGGTCCAAGGAAGCTTTCCCAATGCTTGGCTTGTTTTGAAACAGCTTGAATCGTGCTGTAGAACTCAACCTGCAGAGCTTTGAAACAAAAATGGAAAAGTGTGTTAGAAGTGTTACAGCTTGCAATGGGGACCTGGGATAGTTCAGGTGAGTTGATTGGAAGGTGTTTGAACTATCTTTGGACAAAACGCACGATGGAATCTGGTTATGGCTTGCAAAATGCAGAACTTGCCCTGTTTTGCAGAAAAACAGTGATTCTGTGTACAAGGGAGTTTGAGAGGCAAAGGGGTCGTGTTTCAGACTTGTTGGGAGGTATGGAACTTGTCTACAATGTTTGTGTAAGCTTGTCTTAACAGATATCAAAGATGGCATATGATTTGCACCTTTTCTTCTACTTGAAGCAAGAGAATGGAAGTGATGTTATAGCCTTGTATAGGCCCTCCTATCACCCTGCACACAACACTCTTGGCCCCTCCAATTCATGGATTTGGTTTGCAGTCTCAGATCTTTGTTCAAGGCTCAATGCTTAGTGTTTTGACATAAAGTAACCTTTTGCAAAAATGGCAATATACCTTTTACCATTTAGGGCTTAATCTTGTGTACAATACCCTAATGACCAAAACAAAACCTTAACTCAATGGATATGCATTAAATTATGGAGTACAAGTTGGTTTTTAGGCCTGCAAGCTAGCACCAAACACGCTGATTTGAAAATGCAAGTTTGTATGAACATGTATTGGCCATGGACAAACGTGAGTTTTTGCCAACTTCAAGCATTTGATTCTCTCTAACCACAAGGGTGTTTGAGGAGTTCTTGGACAATTTGGAAATCTTGGAACATGTATTATAATCCATCTTTGCATTGCAACTTGAAACTCCAAGTGGAACTATATGAAAAGTGGCCAAGAAGATGGGTCAAAATCCTGCCTAGATTAGGTACCCTTGTTCCAAAAATCATAACTTGAGATACAAGCTTCTTTTGAGAAAACTTTGTGAATAAAAGTTGTAGACTTTGTGATGGACTACAACTTTCATGTTTCAAGTTTTGTTTGAATCCATTTGCATCTTGATGAAAAAATGGGACAAATTTAGGAAAAAATAAGAAAATTTTATAACTTAGAAAAATTCTAAGTTATGAAAAATTTCCATTTTAAACCCTAATTTGAATTTTTTGGTTTCTTGATGAAAAAGTTTCATAATTTGACATGTCTTGATGAAAAATAACTCTTGGCACTTGATTTTGACCAAAAAGTCAAAGTTTGACTTTTCAGTGTACAGTCAAATTTTGATTAGTTGACTGAAAAATTCATTTGTCAATCTTATGCACTTGAGATCTTTTGAACTTGTTGAATGGGTCAAGACAATGTCATTGAGTCCTTGAGTCCATATGTGAGCTTGATTTTCCTTTGGCTAAGTCAAACAGTCAAAAGTTGCCTTTGTGCAGTCAAAACCCTAAAAAGACCATTTTGCCCTTTTGGTGATCTGATCAAATTTCTTGTGGAATGGTGATCCAAACTTGATCAAGTGGTTCATATGAGTTCATAATGTTGATGTGGGTCAAATTTCATGAGGTTTGACTGTCAATTGGCCACAGTTGACTTTTTCCCCAATACAGCCGATTTCTAGGTTAACTGTCCAATTGACTGGGCAAAAATTTGAATCAAAGCTTGAAACTTGGTATGGGCAAACTTGTGAGTCCAACATGAAGTATGAAAGTCACTTTGGGCATTGTAGGTCAAAACATCCCTGTGTAAACTCGAACCCTAATTTAGGTCAACAGTGCAAGGAGGTGACTTGAGCAGAACAAATCCTAGTTTGATCTTGAGTTCCAAGAGTCTTGTGATTGAGAAAATGTTGATGAAATGAGAGGGCAAATTTTGGGGTACAACAACCACATATGAAATTATGAAAAGGGACTAAAAAATTGCCAAAAAATAATATGTTTGGAGATTAAAAATCTGAATTTTGTAAATGAGGGATCAAAAATTCAAAAAAATATAAACAAAGGGGACAAAACTATATTTAAGCCAAACAAATTTTGTTAGATGATCCAAAATAAAAATTAAGATTAAATATATTTTTTGTTATTGGAAATAATCAACATTCAATTTCAGTCCTTAAAAAACTTTTCTTTAAAGAATAATCCACCTAAAACTTTCCATTCATAATTTTGATTTCTATCGCCATTCCAAATCAACATTAAACTTCACTGCAAAAAAAAAAACTTTAGATTGTGGGGGTTTGAGTATTGCTTTTTTGGAATTAGCTACATATAGAATGAGTGTGATGGAATCATAATCCAAAGACATATTTAAAAAAGCATCCCGAGTTTGGACAAAATTACTTTTCAGTTTTCACACTCTTTGGCGTAGCTTTAGGATAATGGCATTAATATATGGGATGATAATGCATCCAGGGAATTCCTTGATAGGCGATTATGATTGTTAATTATTGGAACTTATCCTAATAAAGGTATTTCATATATGGGATAATAACGTTCATATATGGGATGATAATGCATCCAGTACAAAGGTATTTCTCATCTAATCCAAGGGTACACGTGAGTTTATATACTGAAAGTACTAACTAACTTATCCTAATAAATAGGAGATTAGTTACAAATAATAAGGACCTGGTGCAGTAGTAAATAAAAAAGAAAATAAACTATAACTTGTTATTTATATCTATGAAGCAGCTCCAGCATCTCTTAGAACAGTGATTTTTCTCTTTGCTATAGATGATGCTCCCTAATAAAACTAAAACAAAATGTAATAATTCATTAATTTATTAATCTATAAGCCACACTCGCCGCTATATTAGTATTTCCTTCTAGGATCTGATCCCCATCTAGATTTTTAGGATATATTATTTTTCAACTTGAACAGCTCACGTTGAGAGTTCGTGTGGAACTTCTTTCAAATTTTCCACGTTCTAGTGACATTTGTAGTTGACAACTGCTTTTGCCGCCACTTGCTCTTGTTCTCGATTAACCAAGGTTTCATCGATATAGCTTCTTCTTCCAATACTATCTCCACCCTATTTATGAGAATTACCCGTTAAACCTTGTCGACGGTCCTTGTTTATCACTTGCAGAATAATTGACATTCTTTTTGACAAAAGATACCATCCAACTTGTGACCTTATCCTCTTAGTCGAAAATTACTTGTCAACAATAAGATTAAAATATTTTCTTGTATTTTAATTCTCTTATCTCTTTTTTATAGTATTTTGTTATTTGTCATTAATATATTATTTGATATTATATAAAAAATATAGTCATAAATTATATATACATTATAAAAAATTGTTGCATACTATATTATATTCTAAATAAATTTAAAGTAATTTATATTTGAAAATCATGTAAGATCTATTTTATGATTAAAAATATTTATTTAAAGTGTTACTTTTATTGCTATAATTTCAGGAAAGCAAAAAATATTTTATTGTATTTGAATTTTCACATCTCTTTTATATTTGAAATATGAGAGATGAAAATGAGTTTTGGGATGTGTCACATAAGATTATAGGATGATGTAACAAATTTTAGAATTATACTTGATAACGTGTTAGAGTTATGATTGAAAATGTGTTGCTATAATATTTGATGCATTGAATTTAATATATTATATAGATAAATAGTTCAAAATGATATTTATATTTGAAATATGAGAGAATATTTTTATACATAGTTGGATTAATGATTGGTTTGTTAGATTAATTTGTTCAAAATGATATTTTATTCCGTCTATGCGAGGATTTGAATTTGTAGAAGTATAAGATGAAAATGAATTTTGAGATGTGTCATATAAGACTATAGAATAATATAATAAAATTTAAAATTATACTTGATAATGTATTAGAGTTATAATTGATAATATGTAGCTATAATATTTGATGCATTGCATTTAATATATTATATAAATATAAAAGTGAAAAATATAAAATTTGCATTTTATAATTTGCATTTCATTTCACTATAAAATGCAATAGTTTTTAACCTGATGTAAAGTAAAACATTATAATCATCAAACAAGCGCGCACACACATAACAACATGACCAAAGTAACAAGACAACTACATGATATTTTTAGATGGAGATACTATTGGGAATGCCTCTACAAGTCAATCCTTCTTCACTAGAAGGGTAAAGCAAAGTATATGGCATCTTCACAGGCCCATACCTGTTTCTCAATGACTCGTCATTGTTCCTTTGAGTGAGTTTTTGCTCAATTTCAGCCAATTTCCTTCCAAATCTCTTGAAAGCCTCTAATGGTTGCGAATCAGAAGTCCAACGATCACCTTCAATTCTCTCTCCAAGATATTGTTCATCAGAGGCATGTCTTGACAAAACCTCTATAATGGTTAAATCAGTAAGGGTATCATTCTTTGGTGTGATTGTCCTCAAAAATGTCTTTTGGTAGTTCTTAGAAAGCTCGTCATACTCAGGAGTTCCTTTCTCAGGCATTAACCTTCTAGTTTTTGTTGGTCGATTAAGGATGTATCCTCCATATGGATATTGTCCAAAATTAACAGCTGCATGAAGTGCTGAAGCTATCCATATGAGGATGCTGCATGCTTCAATCAACTCCTTACGAGTTTGCATCTTAAACCACCATGTTGCATTCTTCAAATCACCATGGCCCACTTCTACAAGTTCTTTCCAGAATGCTTGGAGCTCAGAATCTTGTACAATAGTTGCATCAGACTTGTAGTAGAAATTCACATATTCTTCGACCCAAGACTTAATAGCGGCCCATATCTCAAGCCCATCAGCAGCATAAGGGTAGTCCTCTATCAGAAGGCGGAGACCATGCGGAGAAGTTGGATCCTCAACCGCCATTCCTCTAGATAACAAGTAAGGAAGATATCATTAACATCAAAATAGAAACCGTTGAGGTTGAGACCAATATATTTTTAATCAGGATGAAGATAATGTTTTGTAGGGTTACCTTTTGAGTAGATCTTGAGGCAGTCCTTGCTCAGTGAAAACCCAATCCTTGTATACAACGGAAGAAAATTCTATAGAATAACTTCCCAATAAGAATGTCGATTCAATAATACCTTCTGCATTTACCAAGATACTCCTTGCAAGTGAATTTATGTTCATTGTGTCGCGATAGTGTGGAAGCAAAAGTTTATGAATAGGGTGAACCACGCTGAGATGCCTATTTGTTGCTATGATGAATGGCTCAACAACAGCATGAGTGTTCAACCTGTCACACATGTAGATAAATAGATATTCATGATTTATTACTCGTAGATAGATAAATCATATTTGAACTTTGAATGTATAAACATATTAATGAAAATCATACCAATGGCTAACAAGTTGGTGATAACATGAATCATTCACAACGACATAAGCTTTGGCAAGGAGCCAAATTGAAGCTTCAACACCTTCACTTGCAGGTAAGTAAACTTTACTGATAGGACCAAAGCTATCAGCCTGTGGATGTGGGCTACTTAGCTCAATGGCCAATGGCTTCAAAGTTCCATCATTTTGCAAGAAAAGGAAGGTTCTAGTAGCATATGCTTTTGTTTCAGTTGCATTTATTTTCCTCAAATATGGAAATAATGGATCATGGTGATCAAGTATGAACAATCTGTTCGTTTGGATAGCCTATTTTAAAAAAATATATAATAATTCAGTAATTGCAATTATTTGAATAAGAATGAACCAGTATGGCAAAACAGTATTGATGTTAAATTGTTTAATTACTTGTTCAACTGTGACTCCACACATGTTTGGTTGTAAATGTTCTTTGGTTACTTTGCTGGTATTATCACCAAAGAGTTGTCTATCTAGCTTGCTCTTAGGTGGAAACTCCTACATTAAATGTAGCAAACAATATTGAGTTAAATATTTGGGTTAGAATAACAATTGTTAAAATATTAAGTTTACCTGAAGTCTTTTGATGATGTGTGGATTTACACCAGCAATCATCTCCCTCGTAAATTCTTCATCGGTCATCCATCCAGACTGATTCACTGCTCAAAATAAGATCAATGCAAAATATCTCTAAGAATCTTTCGATATTTTGTAGGAAACTACATTACTAGGACTAAAAGTGTTTTGCTAAAGATACCTTGAATCACTTTAGGTGGTGGAAACTTAAGAGGTGCTTCACCATCTGTTCTAAGGAGTTCCTTGAACAATGGTATAGGGCTAAGTTTGCTAAGTGCATTAGTTGGCAATTTAATTCCACCCTCATAGAATGTACGCACTTCATCAAATGTATTAAACTCCGGCCGATTGAATTGTAATGATAGTGCAGATTGTAGTTGAGGTATGACATTTTGAGACACTGATTTGAGTACATAAACAAGAAAGTCCGAAGACTTCAAGTGACCAAATGATTCATCTCTTGGAAGGTAAACGAAGTCGCTCCGTTTCTCACTTTTCGGATCTGTTCACATACACAACAGAAAAATAAGTATTGGCAGCAAAAATGACTTTAAAATTAAGTAAAGATAGACTGCAAAATTATAACCTTTCTTAGCTGGTTTTCTTCCGGTTTTCCCCCTTCGAGGATAAGGCAAAGTGCTGGATCCTCCAATAACGGACGAGCCAAACTTGCTTTTTTGTCAGGAGCTCCCAAATCGTTGTAGACATCATAATCATATATTCTTTCCCATTCTTTGCGCTCTCCAGTTCCATCTCCTCTTAAAGTCTTCAGTTCTTCTTGTCTATAGTACACTAGCGGAGACGGTGTTTCACTTGGAAGATACGACTATATTTATATATTTACTAGTGTCAGTTTTTCGGAAATATAATCTACAAATATGAAACTTTTATATTACCTTGTTAGCGAAGAAGATGCGTTCGGTTTTATACTTTGTAGTATTGTAAATCCATGAGTTGCAAACAAAGTGGATGGTTCCATGGTTGGGAATATCTTCAAGAGTCAAGCTTACAAGAAAGAATTCTCCAAGCATGAAATTCTCAATATAAAATGCTCCTGGAATTCCCATCTCACTATCCCATTTGAAATGAACATTAAATGCACACTGTCCAGCTCCTAAAATTGGTAGTGAAGTAATAATACCTTCAAGAAACGATCTCTTTCCCACTTTCCCTTTTCCACTTTCTACAAATATATGTCACAAATTAGTAGAAAAATATTGAGAAATCTATGATGATGATGATGATGAATATATGATGAGAGAGATTAAGAAGAAATATACATACCATCAGCACTAGTAGCACTAATCAACCTGAGAGCCACTGAACAGCCTAAGGTTGAAGTGTATGTATCAAGTATAGAGCCAGCAATACTATTAGCAACTCTGACTCCACCTAAGATTATACCAGCAACATCTTGAACTGAAGTGAGTGCGTTTATGTCCAAGACATTCTTGTGCATCAACACAACTGTCCCCTTCACCTTTTGGCTTCTGTTAAATCGATCTCTCGCAAATGAAAGCATATTTGCAGCTTCTCCAACAAACTTGTTAAGCACTTTCTGCTTTTCAGGCAACTGAGAAAAAAGCTATTGGCTATTATGTTTTTTTTTCACAGCCTGACTTCTTATATAGCAAGTCTTGAAAATAAATAATGTAATTTCTTTTGTCTTACTAGGGTTCAATAATGTAGTGTGTGTTTGAAAATTACAATGTACATGCATGTCCACTTGGAGAGCTAAGATTCTTATAAATTATGATAATATCACGTTAATATTTCTCTTTGGAACACGGTTTGAACGCGTTAACATATTACAATCTTCTCTCTCATATTTCTCAAAACTCATGTGTGTAATATAGTGTTGTCACTATCTCATGAAATGTTTGTACTTTGGAGGGAGTATTTCCCATAAATAAAAGTGGATAATATTTATTACTATTATTGCATGGTAGGTTAAATTCAATGAATTTTGAGAAGACCTAAATATAGAAGTCTTTTTGTATGGTTTTAAACTCAAAATGTTTGTAATATACAAGTCTTTAGTAATAGTAATACAGATATTTTTATTATTATATTATTATTAGAGTTTAAAACTTAGGATATGATTGGTTGATGCAATAATTATTTTACACTGAATGCTACTCGTAACTTTGTAAAAGAGCTATACTATTAAATGTGTATATCCACCACTACAGTACTTGTATTAAAATACATTTGCAGATTATCCACTAGTCTGAGATAACCCTCAAGCATTGACCTGTGTTTCCTTCAAGACTTTTTAGTGTTGTAGTTATTGAGTTACTTATTAGTTAAGTTTCATTATTGGACTTATTACTATTAATTTGTTAAGTATGAATTACGGTCTTGTAAGTTATTGCAGCACGAACAATCACACTCATAGTTTTAAATTAAGGTTGCGGTTGAAGATGCGGTTGTAATTGCAGTTACGGTTATTGTGATTGTGGTCATTGCAGTTGTTGAAGCATATGAATTTTAATTGAAAGGTGTTTGAAATACAATTGTCGATAAATACTTAATGTTAAGATTTTTTTATTACCATTTATTTTGGATACTTTTAATTTTCTAGTATTACAAACAGTTGATTTTTTTTACGTAGAATCAAAAGGTTTATGAATATCAATTTTATATCTCCAAAATCTATGAATCTAGTTTTATGATTGACTATACGAATAAAAAAGAAGTAGCAACGCAATTTATTGCTTGTTTACCTTTTATTTCTGTATAAACTTAAAAGAAATTGAAATTTTTTACATCTAAAGTAAATTGAGTTTTGAAATTATGAAATTTGATACAAATATTTGAAAAAACATGAGTAAAATTGTCGGATATGGTTTCAAATGCAATCAAACGCATAATTTTGAATTACACAACAATTACAGTCCGATACGGCTGCTTTAACTAGTGTGCTACCGGGCAACTGCAATTGCTAGAGTGCAAAATAAGCTAATGTGTCTAATCCAAATTCCATTTTTATGATATGCTCCCTCTCTTTTCATTCTCCAATATTCACTCATAATATATGCTTGCTAACTGTATATGCCATTATTCACACCACAATATAAATTTACTCAACTACTTTTTACCTTGCCAACCAATTCCACCTCTTCCATGTCAGCAATCCATCAATCGCATTTACACACCAATAGATAAGATGCAATCAACCAATCCATAACAGTTACACTCCTAGTTAAGACTAAACCAAAATATAGCATAAAATAACTACAAACTAAATATAGCATAACATTTTTTAAATATTTTATTAAAATTTGTTGAAAAGTAAGAGTCAACCTTTAAACATTTTAAAAAGATCATTAGATAGAACCTCGTGTTTAATTAATCTACAAATATATTAAAAATCTTACCATTGTAGGGTCTATATGGTTTAGGATATTGTTTCCAACCAATGACAAATTGCAACAAGCAATTGTCAAAAGTCTTTGATGCATTGAATGCATGCTTGTATTTTCCCCCAACAACAAATATTATAGAATACTGAGAGGGACATAGTTTGGCTCCATGCAGAATGTTTGAAAGCTTGGCATCAAGTTCCACATCTTGGGATCATGACTTTTGATGGAAGTGGAGTGCATGATTTAGAAACAATGAAGGTGGCTAAGTATAAAGAAAATAATTAAAACAAATATATTAAACTTAATCAATAAGAAAAAATGTACAATAACATATATTTAGTTAGATAAAATACTCTCTCTATATTCTATTATAAGCAAAAATGTATTTCTTTTAAACAATACAATGGCTTGAATTGTGGTAAATTATGGCGTTTAGCATAAACCACCACAACTTACTGTTGATTAGGACAGTTTGAATCATATTTGATCGCTTTGGTAGTTGTACTGATTAAGAGTTTTTTAATGCACCATGTTCCATCTAATTAAGCATTGTGGTGTCGCCTTTTGGAGGCACATCTTGTTTTGCCATACATTTTCAAGTTTTGTTTTTTTAACTAAGATATATTGATGAGACAACAAAACTTTTCAATTCTGATTATAAAAGAATGAGACAAAGTTCGTTAAAAGAAAAATGATACTCCAATTAAAATCTAAGATAAATAAAATAAAGGATTTTTGTAAAATTCGTAGAAGTTACAATTGAGATGTGTAATATTTTTGATGAAAGATCATCTCCACACTAGAGCCCTGGCATCCCAAACCGCGTCTAAAACGTTTCAATCGACGTTTCTAAAAATTATGCCATTCCTAAGAATCCACAAGCTCCAACAAGTTGTCAACCAAAAACATCATTCCTTACCTCTTTTCACTTTCTTCATTTTACAAAAAGGGCACCATCTCCAAAATCTCCCTTTAAAACTATCTGCTATGTAATCATCAAAACCAATTCACTCGGCCATTTCCTTCCAAACTAGACCGCAAATGTGGCACGGCAAAAGGGAGTGAACCGAAGATTCTCCGGTAACTCTACAAAAAACACAAGAAATGTTGCTAGAAGGAGAAAAAAATACCTCTTATGGCCAACAAATCTCTCGTCGGTAACCTATCGATGAAACATCTCCAATCAAAGGCTTTGATCTTGTAGGAAACCTCCACCTTCCAAATAGAAACCAAAGCCGAATCAAATAAGTTGGCCGGGCCGAGGGAGATTGAAATATACTGATAATTTCGTAACAGTTGCTGACAGAAAATCCAGTAGAACAATTAGGAAGCCAAACACCTTGTCCTTCTCGCCCGCTGCTGGAATCGAAGGCCGCAACACCATGCGCATCTCTAGAACAGCCGCAACAACTTCCGGGTGGAGCCGGACAGAAATGATGAAGTCTCCCTACCTCCATTCTCCATCGATCCATCCTCCCATACTGGCAATCGAGACGTCCTGCAAATCAGAAATCGCAAACAACAAAGGGAAATTGTTCTTGAGACAACCAATATCCAACCATGTTGTGTGCCAAAACAAATAGAAAGTCGATTTCCAACATGAAATCTACAATTATTAACAAAAATCTCCTCCGATAATTTTCTCTCTAAAGAAATAATGTCCGACCACCATTCAGATTTAGAAATTCTCCCATCTAGATTACCCCCTCCGGTCACCCCCCCAAAGATTAATATCTCTGTAGCGAGTCTTCAACACGTTGTACCACAAAGCATTAGATTCTTCTAAAATTTTCCACCTCCATTTAAATAGAAGAGCCAAGTTGAAATCTTCTATCCTTATAAATCCGAGTCTGCCTTTATTAATAGGGAGATAAACATCTTTCCAACTCACCCAATGAATCCTTCTTCTATCCTCCAATCCTCCCCAAAGAAAATTACTTTGGAATCTAGTAATCTCCTTTGTGATTTTCACCGGAGCTTTGTAAAAGAAAGAGTAAAAATAGAAAGACTACTCAACACCGACTTTAGGAGAGTTATCCTTCCGTCAAAACTAAGCATACGACCCTTCCAAGACGACAACCACTTCTTCATTTTTAATAATAACGAACTCCAGGATGAAATGCTTCTAGGATTAGATGTTAGAGCAAGTTTGGTTTTGATCATATCTCAGAATTTTGATGATAACAATAAAATATATTTTGTATAATTGATACTCTGATGAGCATATTTCTTTGTTTCAGATAATGTTCTGACTGAAGTATTTTCTAAGGTGAAAATTATTTTACGTGCTGAGCTGAATAAAAATGAAGAAGTTATTTGATGAAAGAACTATTTATTTAGCGCAAGTTCTGACGCTGGCTCTGATAAGAAGCAATTTAAAGCATCCTCTAATCTTAGCAAGTTTTCATGCAAACTCTGTTCAGAAGTATTTTGCAAGCAAGCTCTGATGAGAAGTTATTTGCAAGCAAATTCTGAAGCAAGATCTGAAGCAAGTTCTGAAAGATTAAAGAAGCAAACAGTCTTGTCAAGTTTCAGAAAACAAGATCTGAGAGTGTCGTTTGTTCATTTAATGCAAATACGGCTAAAGCACTCAAGTGTCTCTACGCTAGTTCATTGAAAAAAACAATAATGCAAGCTAACACGCAAACATTAATTACTCCTCACTTTTGAAGGCAGTAACTGTCGTTTTCCTCATGCTATAAATAGAAGATCATTTATTGCAAGACAACTACAAAAAAAAAAACAAAAAAACATCTTACGCGAAAATTATTCTGCTACTCATAAATTATTTTCTTACAAACACTTTGTTATTTTCTCAAGTGCAAAACTTATCTTAGTGATAAATCACAGTTTGTGATATAGCTTTCTAAGAAGAAATTTGTTTCACTATTGTAAAGATTTAATTCTTGTATTTGTTCCTTGAGAGACCAGGCTTGGTCAGATTTCTCAAGAAGGCTAGGACTAGTTTGAGTCTTAGTGGTGTTAGTCACTTGTAAGTTTATTTGTGCTTTGTATTGTTAGTCACAACAGTTTGGTTGTGTGATTGTAATCTGTTTGATTATAGTGAATTAAGTCCTTGTTGAGAAAGGCGAACTCACCTTGGTGGGTGGACTGGAGTAGTTTGAGTTCAAATGAACTTGGATAAAAATAACTG